GAGTTCTCTTTAAAGTAGGCTTTAAAGCGGTTAATATTTACAATGCGGAGTGCAGTCGCGTGCCTTCTAACTATAAGCGATGGAATTGCAGCAACTTCTGCTTTATTAGGGAGACAAGGCGACCAACGTACCAATTCGAATGTCATTATTGAAGTAAAGCGGTTCGTGAGCTTATTACTGTCATTATTATTGCCATCACGAAGAATTCGTACGGTTCCTAGATCGAACCTTTGTCATCTCAAAAATATCTTAATACTTCCTTCCCTGTACTTGTACCTCAATACTTACATAAGTACGGCGATATTCGTTAAATCGATTCGTTTCAACTCGAAGTTTATTAAATATAAAACGTAATTTCCTCCAACCACTGATATCGTACGATCTTTGACATATATAAAACGTCCAGGATGAAATATAATTGAACAACGTTAACACCGTGTCAAAGGTATTTCAATTAACATTTCAGCATTAATGTAACAATTCGCATAGAGGCAAATGGGACATTTGTGACAGTCAGAAGTTTACAGACTTACGTGTATATGACACGATGTCGTGCAGGAACTGGCGAAAGTGAGACATTCGCAATGGAGATGAAGTAGCATGAAAGCAGGGCCTCATTGTGGGCAGAAGAATAGAATCTCAAGGGTTGGGTCCTCAGGGAAATCAAAAGGCAGTGGGCCTCCGGGATAAACCAGCCAGATCTCAGTGGAGGTTTGCCAAAGTAGCTTGTCAATAACTTAAATCTCAATCGTAACTTGGTACTCCCAACTGATTTCCGTTTCTGCGACTCGTATCTGCTTCTCGTCGATATTCATAGCTGACGTATCTTCCTATGCTCGGAAGGAGTACGTGCTTTCGGAAATTCATTCATCCTCTGTACTTGCCTTTCTCTAGTTTCTTGTTTTGCGGATTACTTATATACCGCGCGTTTAGAGTGAACAAATGTCGCTTCGAAAGGACTTGGCGTGGTGCGTGCATTAAAATGTGCTTTATTTCCTTTTATCAGTTTGAAAGTACCTCGTATCCGTTATAACATTAGTTTAGAATCTTTATCTTCATTCTAAGCACATCGCGGTATCCTATAAGTATTAAATTTTCTTTACGGTATTTGTTTATACAGCATATTTCTTTTTATTATTTCAATAGATAGATTTTGTTCATATTCGATAGCTTTCTCTACGGCAGACGAAATATCATTTTGTCAGATTTCTATCGGCTGTGTGAGTTGACCGAAGAATGGCTGAAGGATTTTCGAGGGCAACTGAGGAGACAAAACATCGCAGGCACGACGCGCGGTACAATACCCATCCACCCGCGGAGATTGGCTTCTACCATTCATAACTTCGACACATTCTCTGTCAAAACGTTAGCACAGATTGTCAACCGTTACATCACCAGCCATCGAGTACAAAGAACGTAACGCTAGTAAACACGCTTCTATCCGCGCTTCTTTTTGAACGCATTGTTCCGAAAGAGTGAAGGCGTACCATACCATAAATCGTTTCTTACTTTTAAGGCGTAACGTCGCTTTAACTTCAAGTCGAACAGAATTATTAGTGACAGAATAAAATAGGTACTGCTTAATTTTAATTATCGTATTACAACAAAAGGTGCGAATATGTTGAAATTTTTAAAAATACAGGCTTTGCCTTTGCGAGGAGAATTTTCAGAATGTTTAATTAAAACTTTTTCAAGCTTATTCGACCAAGTTTGACAAAAATAACGTTACGTAATAACGCTTGTTGAAACAGTTGTTGATTTCTGTCGCTAGATTGTTCCGTACACTTCACGAATGCGTTTCTAAACTCGAGAAGATATCAGCATCCGGTGCTGTAGCCTCGATTGCTCTTGTTAAGAGATTGGCGCAATTGTCAACCAACCCATGTACAGGCTTCTCGTTCAGGAAGCACACTGTATTATTCACAAACAAGACAACGATGATATCCATAAACAAGGCGGAGAGTAAAGCCAAGCTAAAGTTACGAGATCATATATACCTACTGTCCTCTTCTTACCATCTGCGGCCACGTTGTGAACATCACAGAATGGGATTGGGAAGCCATCTATTCGTTACCAGTATTTGATTGCATTTGATACCAGTATTTACTATGTCGTAGTACACAGCAGTTAGTTAAATAATGTCACAATTATGTGAAGATCCATTAGAGCAGCCAACTTGTACCTCTAAAAGACGCGCGTGTAGAACACAATTAAATAAATTAAAACGATGCGAGTATCATTTCTACTAATAGCGACTGATTATCTAAATTAAGAGTAGAATTATTTATTTCAGAAATATTACATTAGTTCTCTCAAATTTTAAAGCGGTTTTATGCATCGTAGGACAAAGTTAAAAATATACCCGTTTTGTATAACGCGTCGGTTATTATAATAACGAGGAATGTAATAATCCAGCGGAAGAATAGGGGACCATCAACGAGCGATGCATCATCGTTCGGAGCTGCGGGTGAAAATTAGAAACATCAGCGTGACAGCCAATAAGTTGCTGCAAACAGCCGAGGGAGGATTTACATCTTCCTTACTTCCGTACTTGGGAGCTATTTACAGCCGGTACATTACGGTGTAAAGTTCCCGGGCAATCGACGTTTCGATACATTATCAGCAAGAAAGACAAATGTTTCGCCCACGCGTAGGTAATTGATACTATCGGTATCGATTACCATTACCGCCGGAGCTAATTACCTCCGGCATCGTAATCGAATACAATGAGGTAAACAGCGGGCTATTCGCGTTGCAGCAACACAACCGTAATGTCGTTTACACAAAGGCCCGTACATTGGTTCGCGGGCTCGCTACGGTCACATCAGTTGAAATACCTAGCACCCTCTGATGCGCGCGGATCGGCTGAAAATTAAACGCTGCAGATTGAGAAACGAGGCGCACCATATTAATAACCCCCGGCGGGGAATTACTCGCCACGCACGATCGCGCCCGGCGTAGCGTTTCTGGCGAAGTCACGTGCAAGTATAATTCGAGCTAACGAGCGACGCAGAGACTGTACTGTATGGGGGCTTGCGGAAGACGGGAGGAAACAGTAGCGGCGGCTCGGCGGCGAAGGGGGTAAAATTCAGTGGTGTGGGACACACGGGTAGGTAAGTAAAGTAAAGTCGGCGGCTGTATCGCGCTTAAACTTGGGGGGTTAATTCCCCTCGTTACATTGCGAAATGCCGGCGCGCTTTCCTTAGCGATCGCGCCGCTCGGCTGCACGCTTAGGACCGCAATGCGGAATAGGTATTCCGTTGCGCATAAGAAATTCTTCTTTTGCCCGAACTTCTGCTCCGACTTACTTCCGAATTCCTTTCAGCCAGGTTGCTGCCGAGGTAAGAATTTTATTCTCGACGACGCTAGAAATCTCGCGAGGTCCTAATGAGAAGTAACAAGTCTACTCCGCACGCGAAAGGAGATTGTCCCCGCGATTATCGCCGCTGTGAACAACGGCAAATTTTATTTTTTCCTTTTACTTGATCCGAGCTAATTTCTTCAGTTGTCGTTACAAAATATCTTGTGAATAATCGGTACGTCATGTTGTTTCGATCCGCGATATGCGCAAAAGGCTTTAAGTGGGATTTAAAAAAAAAGGAGTATTTCTCCCGCTGTATAAATCAGTACATTCGTACTCAAATGAGAAACTATAAGGAGCAGCCATTTTTCAAGAAAGTTTGGCTAGCGCGGCACGATCACGCTCTACTTACGCTCGCCGAAGTGCGACATACGCAGAAACGTAGGGTGGTGGGTGGTGCGGAGAGTGAGGGGAGAATGACGAGCGAAAGGGGTTAGTCTGCCACATTAGTTGGCGTATCCAAGTTCCAGGCATCCAATCTATTACGACCAGTTCGGCATTAGTAATGTGTCGGCGGTAATAGCGAACTTGACGGTTCTTTGGAGAAGACGGAGGCTCGAGGAAAAGTGGGACGGAAGGCGAATGGGGAGGAGAGGAAGAGAGGGAAAGAGAAACATCGAGGTGGATAGATAGGATAGACGAGGAGAAACCCACGAGAAACCTACCGAGTGACTCATGGAAGGTAGCACCGGGGGGGGGGGGGGTTCCCGAAGAATGTTCGGTGGCCAGGGGATAGGCGGTCGGAGAGGATCGCGGGATAGGCGTGCACGACATCAAAACTTGCTTGAGCGAATCTAAACTAACCGAGTAACTCTCCGCGTTACGGGCTACGATATATGTCGCGGTGAGATGGCGAATTGGAGGGTGTTGATGGTGGTGGTGTATATGAAATGGAGGTCGCGAGGGCCGCGAGCGGGAGAAGGAAGCGAGGTCAGGAAGGACCGCGCGTAGAGATGAGCGGGTGCGGTAGGCATGGGGCACGAGACGGGGTAAGAGTAGGAGAAGAAGCGGCGGGAGGTGCATGGTAATAGGAGAGCAATGGAGGAGAATGAAGTAACTTGGCGTATATATCGTGTAGCATGTATAATTCTGACCACATCCCACCAAACTATGACATATTCGAGCATTAGCTATTCCAGCCGGATCCCAATACCTTCTCCCAACCTCTGGCGGACCCCTTGAGCACGACCCCGCTTCACCCCCGACCGCAGACTTGTCCTTGCGCGCTACCATCGTTGATTCACTCGCAACCGCCGCCGACGTTCGCCGACGTTCCCCGCGAACTACTGGTAACCGTCAACCGGCGAACTTTAACTGCACATGGAATTCGAATATGACGCAGAAAGACGAAGGAGAACGTGAGAGGAAAGACCAACGCGGCGAAAGGGAGCGAGAAGCATGGTTAAACGCGGTCTATCCATTTTACATCAATTGACAATTGTATTTATAAGTTGCCACACGAAAAACTCTACTAAATTCGCGTATTTGTTTTCTGTCATAATTCAAAATTAAGTGGAATTGCAATAATATTCTGTGAAAAACACAGCAAAACTTCAGAATAGTTAATAAAGTAAAAGTGACAGCTTTTACTTAAAATTGTCAAGAGTTGTAGGATAAATGCAATAAATGTCACACATACCTTTTCTAAAAAAAGTCGCTGATTAAGAGTCGTCAGTGCCGCCGAAGCTGTTACGTGATCCACAAATTCCACGAAAGCGTATGCATCATTTCCAGGCTGGAACAATCAAAGTATTGTTTTATATCCATACGTGCATAACATTCGCATAAATAGAAACAGTAAAAGAGATAGGAAATCAAAATGGTATTATATTTAATTATGCTTATTAGATGGTAACCGTAATTATTATACAATTATTGCTGTGCAAGGTTTGCTGAACTATACCAATTCACCTGCAATAATTTTACCGCCTTCTAATAAAGTATCTTGAAATATCTGAACAGTTTTAAAAACTTCGATTAATATTGTGACATATAAAAGACGAAAGTTGAGCACGTAATATATAGAGAAATCGCCAGACTCTTCTATATGAATGATGGACAGAGGTAAAATCCTGTGATTTAAAGCCATTTATCGAGCTGCCCGAATGGACACAAATCCAGGATCATCTACTTCTTTCTTGTTTCATTTTTTATTCAATTTCTATTGTCTTACATTAACGCGACAGCTTTATAGTTGGACGATAAAAAGACGATGAAATGATAATGACGAGTAGCAGACAAAGAAATTATATAAAAGTTTAATTAAAAAATGCGACGTTTATTACACGATTAAATTCAAATCTGTGCCCTTCCACGTCCATTATCGGAAGATTATATGCGATTTTACTAAAAATTTGTATTAAAAATTTCCAATAAATTTGATAAGTCCAGGATAGAAATCCAGGAAATGATTATATTTATGTCAATATGGATGATAGCGAGATTAGCGATGAAAAGCTTCCAAAGCAATAATGGGCATTTCTTCCGCAAGTTGACGTCATGCAAAACTTGTTGTCTATTCTGTGTATAGGCGTTGCAGATAAGATATATATATTCCCGTCGGAATGTAGACCGTAAACCTTATCTTGCACCAGCGCTCTTGCGTTTATTTGCAAGGCACATAGAAAGGGTAGACATAAATGTGAGATATATGATGTGAAATAGCGCTGGTAGATAGTTTATCTTTGTACACGTATTTCTACAATTGTGTAAAATTTACAAAATTTATTTTAATTAAATTTATCTTTACGTTCATCTTTTAATTACGTTTTTAAATATTATACCTTTGTGTAAAAGAAGACACCAATTTTTTTAGTTGTCCTTTTGGATAATCGATGAATTTTATAAACCGCATTTCAAGAAAAGAGATATTAAATTAAATGCGACACTGTCCATTGTCACTAAACATTTTTACGTTTTCTGTTTAAAAGGGCAGAACGCAATTTTTCTGCAGTCTACAACGATGCGGTCGAGAGTCTGAAATTTCATCTTTTTCAATTCTCTTTTTTCCGCTGTCCAACGTAGTCAGCATCGTGCCAGAAACCGGCGCCGGCTTAACATCGAAAAATAGGTGATAATGGGAAAACGCAGCTGCACGTAAGTTAATTATAAGCAAGTGCTTGCGGAGGTACTAATTACTTATTGTAACTTTTGCGTTAATTGTTCTCAGTAATTGCTCTCGGTGGTAATTGGCTGTCCTCCCATCTCATTTACTTAGGCAACTCCAGTGGTCGCGAGGCGGACAGTAAAATTCTGTCATCGAAATCGCCACGTCGAAATCGTATTTGCTTACGGGGCGATTAAGTTTTCCACAATCTCTGTAAAGTCTTGAAACCGTTTGATGCTGAAAGAGACATGATTATATGATGGACAGTATTGAATTGGACTTCTAGCACGAGACGTCCAATTTCACAAGTTGGGAGATTGAAAATTACTGCTAACTTGTTTAACAAGATTGCAATTAGTTTTTAATTTCTTAATAATGATGTCTTCGTTTATACTTGTCTGTTAAAGACGACGAAGGTCGGGAGAAGTAAATACCGAAACAAAAAAATAAGTTTGTTTTAATAAAAGCATAACAATGATTCTCACCATTTATTTGCGATAACGTTTTTAAATTGCACGAAAACATTTTTTTACACTTAAAAATCCAAATTTCTCAACATCTGACAAAGAATAATATTACAGTCGGTAGGG